TGCCAAGGAGAGAAGAGGGTAAGCTGTAGCCTTTGGTACTATTTCTTTAATACTACTTAAATGACTGACACGATTCAGTTGTGTCGTGTTTGTTTGTGAATCCCCTGTAAGGAATCCACTTCCACTGCGTCATTTCTTAGCTCGTTCCACTACTGTTCTTATATTAAAATCCCTGATACATTTGTGACCCATTTGGGTGTGTAATTGTTAACAATGCCATATTATTATTGTATCCCTGATAAAGAGCCTATCCTTGTCTACCTCCCTTATTTTTTTTTTTTATTAACACGTCGGTCGTCTCCCACCAGTGTAGGGTGGCCCGAAAAAGAAAAACTTTCACCATCATTCACTCCATCACTGTCTTGCCAGAGGCACCCTTACAATATAGTTATAAAACTGCAACATTAACAACCCTCATTCAGAGTGCAGACAATGTACTGCCCATCTCCAGGACTCAAGTCTGGCCTGCTAGTTTCCCTTCATAAATGTTAACTTGTTCACACTCCAACAGCATGTCAAGTCCTAAAAACCAGTTGTCTCCATTCACTCATATCTAACGCAAGCATGCTTGCTGGAAGTCCAAACCCCTCACACACAAAACCTCCTCTACTTCCTCCCTCCAACCTTTCCTAGGCCGACCTCTACTCTACCCCACCTTCCCTCCACTACAGATTTATATGCACTCGAAGTCATGGTATTTTGTTCCACCCTCTACATGTCTGAACCACCTCAACAGCCCCTCCTCAGCCCTCTAGATAATAGTTTTGGTACACCTCCTCCTAATTTCCAAACTGTGAATTCTCTGCATTATATTCACACCACACATTGCCCTCAGACATGAGATCTCCACTGCCTCCAGCCTTCTGCTTGTTGCAATATTTACCACCCATACAAGAGTGTTGGTATAACTATACTCTCATACATTCCCCTCATTGCTTCCATGGACAAAGTTCTTTGTCCCCCACAGACTTCTAAGTGCACCACTCACCTTTTTTTTACCTCGTCAATTCTATGATTCACCTCATCTTTCATAGACCCATCTGCTGACACATCCACTCCTAAATATCTGAATACATTCACCTCCTCCATACTCTCTCCCTCCAGCCTGATATCCAATCTTTTGTTACCTAATTTTTTTGTTATCCTCATCACCTTACTCTTTCCTATATTCACTTTCAATTTTCTTCTTTTACATACTCTACCAAACTCATCCACCAACCTCCTTTTCCCAGCCTCATAATGTTGGTTTTGCTTGGGTTAAATTCCAGTAGCCTTTTATTTATTTGACCACTTCAGAATTTGGTCCAAATCTTCCTGTTGCCTTCTCTTGTATGCTTTAGTTTGTATTCTCTTACTTTTGCATCTTGTACAAAACAAAAAAAAAAAAATATAGGCAGGAGTTAATTCCTTAAAGTCATTAATATACAATATGCAAGAAACAGTAACTTTTATGAAAGGATTCAGGGAAACTGGTTAGCCAGACTTGAGTCCTGGAGGTTAGAAGTACAGTACAGTGGACCCCTGGTTAACGATATTTTTTCATTACAGAAGTATGTTCAGGTGCCAGTACTGATTGAATTTGTTCCCATAAGGAATATTGTGAAGTAGATTAGTCCATTTCAGACCCCCAAACATACACGTACAAACACACTTACATAAATACACTTACATAATTGGTCGCATTGGGAGGTGATCGTTAAGCGGGGGTCCACTGTACTTGCACTCTGAAGGAGGGGGTGGGGATATATTGCAGTGTTTGAACTATAGTATCAGCGATGATGGTGATGAAAATGTTTCTTCTTTTTGGGTCACCCTGCGTCAGAGGGAAACAGCTGATGTATTAAAAAAAAAAAAAAAATGATATGGATTCACACATTGATTCTCTTGAACTCTAGTTATTCTTCCTGTCCTCATGCTTCATCCCTTACAATGACTTTTCTGTTATTCATATATTCCTGTGTCAATATTACTGACTTTCCTTTTAATACACTTCAGCCTTTCTAATGTTTGTGTTTCTTCATTTTCACAACATCTTATCTGGAACAAGTGGGGTCTGCAGGCCAATTTTAGGATTTGCTTGCTATGGGTTCAAACCCCACATGTTCCGTGGTTTGTTCGCAATCATGTCATTGTGATTTTGAGAGTTGTTGTATCTGGGTTGGTGCACATTTGTCAGTCACCTCTAGATGAACTATTTTACAATTAGCTGGGAGGTTTGTCCTAAATTCATTGTCTTATTAAGCTTATGCTAGAAAATGCCCCAGTAATCCATGGTTACTTTTCTTATTCATCATTGTCCTCAATTCTCAAATTTCTCTTTAATTAAGACAACCTTAAAATAACGATTACCCCAAACTTCTGAAGTTTCCACAAGGTTGTGGCGCCCTCAGTGGAACATACACACTTGAGAGACCTATGGCATGCACAAAAATTGGCTCATAAATTGAGGGGCCACAGAAAATGAATGCTAGAACTAGGCCTTATACCACAAGGGGAGCAAAGAACAAGAGGAGACATGAGCACAGCTTACAAAATCCTATGTAACAAAAACAAGGTAGCTTGGTTGGAAAACACATTCCCAAATGTGGAATGAACTAAGTAATGATGAACCCATGCCTAAGAAAGCATGTTAAGAAACTGAAGAGAGCGCAGAGGTATGCAACGAGAATAATTCCAGAACTATAGGGTATGAGCTACAAGGAGAGACTATTGGAATTGAATCTAACAACATACAAAATATTCAGAGGAATGAGTTGACAGAGATAGACTATTTGAGGGTGTGAAGTAGGTAGTTGGGGACACAGCTGGAGTTAAAAACACAGATGAATCCCAGGGATGTTAGGAAGTATTTCTTCAGTCTTGGTAGTTGGGAAGTGAAATGTCCTCAGTGGGGAAGTGGCAGAGGCAGACTTCATACACAGTTTTAAGAGCAGATATAATAGAGCCCACAAGGCTAGGAGGGAGTAAATCTGGGAAGTGGCAGGTTGCAAGGTGGGGCCAGGAGCTAAGGCTCGACCCCAGCGCAACCCCGTATAGATAAGTACGATCAAAAAAAGTTAATACAGGGATTTAAAATTAAATATGACAGAGCTCAATCACCAGTTGAAAAGTAAGAGGCTAGACCAAGAGCTTGAGCTCATCGAATATGAAATTACAAATTCGGAAGACATATAGAGAGGAATAAAAAGTAGCATATTTAATAGGTAGAGATGTGGTTCCTCAATTAGCAAGAGTTGTCTGATTTCAGGGAGGGTGACACTAACCTTAGCTGTTCCATCCCTTTTAAGATGTAATTTGGTATCTTGTTAAGCTTACTACTACCACCATCACTTGACTGGTTGGTACACAACTGGTCCAAACCTAAGAGGAAGCCAGTAGGCCTACTGTAATATTCTTTTTTTTTATGAATTGAGATTGCATTGCCTATAAACCAATTAATGTACAATATGATGTACTAGATAACACTGTACAGTGAAACTCGGCTAGATTAAATCTAGCTTTTGAATGATCAGAAGAAAGTGCGACACAGACAAGTCACACTGAACCAAGATAATAATGATCTGGTTACCCTATAACAATTCTCTTTTGTACAGGACAAAAAATAATACAATGCTCAATGCATAAACCAATTATTGTGGCAAATATTCCAAGCTAAATGGATAATTTCTGTTTAATATTGAGAATTAAATAAGTCACAAATTTCATTTTTGATAAATAAAACGTATATTTAAATATTGCTGGATAGAATCCAGTTAACAAACTAGGAATCAAGTTTTTCACAATTTTTATAATTTTTATATAAAAGTAAAAATGCCATTTATGAGGAAAAAAAATTCTTTTTGAAGTTCAGTAAAATATGAAGAGGTAATATGTTAATTATAGAATAATTTATACTTGAAATTTGAGAAAGAAAGAGAGAGAGATTTTTGGATTAAGATGTGTGGCATCTGCTGTCCACTATGAGTCATAAATCAACTTAGAGAGTATCAGGATGTACAGTGGACCCCCGCTTAACGATCACCTCCAAATGCGACCAATTATGTAAGTGTATTTATGTAAGTGCGTTTGTACATGTATGTTTGGGGGTCTGAAATGGACTAATCTACTTCACAATATTCCTTATGGGAAAAAATTCAGTCAGTACTGGCACCTGAACATACTACTGGAATGAAAAAAGTTCGTTAACCGGGGGTCCACTGTATATTATAATGAGATTGCAAGTTGCAAAAATCTGTCTGTCCTTCTGTAACTAATAAGTCAGTTTCTTCCTTTGAAGTAAGATGTTGCACAGAAAAATCTGTGCATCACAGTTATTGCACATATTGACAGCAACCTCTCAATTTAACAAACCTCAGTTTAATGGACTTGGAGATTACAGGACAAATCTGCTAGGTCAGTTGATTCAGCAACAGCAGAAAACATCTGTTGGTTACAGAATTGTCTGTTATTGTTACAATCACAGCTAAACAATCTGTCCACCACAATCACCATTTACCAGCCACCCGTTCTTCCTTATTAGTCAGTTAAATCGAGGCTTTACTGATATTTGCACTTCTCTTTGTAACTTTATCACTTGTTCTTAGAAAATTAATTTAATTATGCTTTTGTGATCAGAATGGAATGATATTCAAGCAGAGGAAGAAGAGCGAAGACTTAAACTATTTCTGCTCCTTTACTAAATTAATAAAGTTGTTGTAACACCAGAGAATTCAATTACCGTATTTTATGGCATTGAAGATGTTACTGTTTCCCATAATAAGTCTCAAAAATTTACCCAGCGATTTGCAGGCCGAAGTATCACTTATCTCCTTTTCCAAAATTTAGCCAGTTAGAATTGTGGGGGGGCGTCCTTGACACCGGAGCGTCTTGTTCGCTGTAAAATATGGTAATTCAGTTCCTCATTAGATAGTGAAGGTACATGAGCATCACTGGAGGCATTCAGTTGCATCTTAATCATTTTAATAATAAAAGTATTGAATTAAGTTTCTGTTTTTCTTCAGGTTTCTGAGCGTTCATCTGGGCTAACTGTAGCCATCAATGAGCATGGAGAGATCGTCAAAACTGCTCCGGGAAATGTGCGAACAATAGACGTGGAGGAACCAAAATCTAGATCAGGAATATCAAAGGACCTTGTCTGTAACACTTGTAAGTAATGAAATGCTCGGTAATTCTTATGTCTTCTGACATGCTTTGTAAGCTTTATTCTTTTAGCCTTTTCTCTATACAGGCATAACTCGCTAATACGTTGGGTTAGGTTCCAGACAACCACCATAAGGCAAATATCACCTTAAAGTGAATCACAACCTTTTTTTCATTTGCCAGTGCATATAAAAGCTTAAAAAATGTTTACACTAACACTTATTAAGTGCACAATAGTGCTATGCCTAAAAACTATGCACAAGTGCTGTAAACAAAGTGAGCATGGGTAACAAAATGGCACCGGTCAGCTGATATGCACATCACTGAAAATAATAAACATGAATATAAGTTACCATCCTGCCAAGTGAGTGTAAAATGGAAGCCTGTAATTGTTTTACATGATGGCAGGATTGCTGGTGTCTTTTTTTCTGTCTCATACACATGCAAGATTTCAGGTATGTCTTGCTACTTCTACTTACCCTTAGGTCACACTACATATACATGTCTTCTTCCTTTCAACAAACTAGCCGTATCCCACCGAGGCAGGGTAGCCCAAAAAGAAAAACGAAAGTTTCTCTTTTTAAATTTAGTAATTTATACAGGAGAAGGGGTTACTAGCTCCTTGCTCCTGGCATTTTAGTCGCCCCTTACAACACGCATAGCTTACGGAGGAAGAATTCTGTTCCACTTTCCCATGGAGATAAGAGGAAATAAACAAGAACATGAACTAGTAAGAAAATAGAAGAAAACCCAGAGGGGTGTGTATATATATGCTTGTACATGTATGTGTAGTGTGACCTAAGTGTAAGTAGAAGTAGCAAGACATACCTGAAACCTTGCATGTTTATGAGACAGAAAAATGGACACCAGCAATCCTACCATCATGCTGGTGTGCATTTTTCATGCTGGTGTCTACTTTCACCTCGTACATAATCACTGTCTTTGCAGAGGCACTCAGATACAACAGTTTAGAAGTCCCTCCATACAGTCAATATCCCAGACCCCTCCTTTAAAGTACAGGTATTGTACTTCCTATTTCCAGGACTCAAGTCCGGCTAAATCTAATAACCAGTTTTCCTGACTCCCTTCACTAAATATTACCCTGCTCACACTCCAACAGCTCGTTAAGTCCCAAAAACCATTCATCTCCATTTACTCCTATCTAATACGCTCACACATGCTTGCTGGAAGTCCAAGCCTCTCACCCACAGAACCTCCTTTACCTCTCCCTCCAACCTTTTCAAGGATGACCCCTACCCCTCCTTCCTTTCCCTACAGATTTATATGCTCTCCAGGTCATTCTACTTTGATCCATTCTCTCTGAATGACCAAGCCACCTCAACAACCCCTCTTCAGCCCCCTGACTAATACTTTTAGTAACCTCCACATCTCCTAATTTCCACACTCCAAATTCTCTGCATAATATTTGATGATTTTCTTTATCTTTTTAGTAAGCTATACGGGAAAAGGGGTTACTAGCCCATTGTTCTCGGCATTTTAGTTGACTTTTACAACACACATGGCTTATGGAGGAAAGATTCTTATTCCATTTCTCCATGGATATGAAATGAAAAGCACTAAGAACAAGAACTATTAAGATAAAATCAAAGAAAACTCAGATGAGTGCATATACATAAACGTTTGTAGATGAATGGTTCAGAGAACCGACATGTTGATAAATTAGACACATGTGCAACTCTTGGGTATCTTTATTGAGGAAACGTTTCGCCACACAGTGGCTTCATCAGTCCATACAAAGGAGAATCTTGAAGAACAGGAGGAGAATGAGGTAATCAGTTCCTCAACCTTGAGTCGATGTGGTCAGTCCATCAATCTTGAATAGAATATACATTCAAGATTGATGGACTGACCACATCGACTCAAGGTTGAGGGACTGATTACCTCATTCTCCTCCTGTTCTTCAAGATTCTCCTTTGTATGGACTGATGAAGCCACTGTGTGGCAAAACGTTTCCTCAATAAAGATACCCAAGAGTTGCACATGTGTCTAATTTATCATACATAAACGTGTACATGTATGTGTGGTGTGACCTAAGTGTAAGTAGAAGTAGCAAGACGTACCTGAAATCTTGCATGTTTATGAGACAGAAAAATGACACCAGCAATCCTACCATCATGTAAAACAAATACAGGCTTCCTTTTTACACTCACTTGGTAGGATGGTAGTGAAATGCAAAATTAGCTAGATAACAGGGATATCTTGATGCTCCTACTTACACTTTGGTCACAATTCACAGACACGCACATGCATATATATATGCATACATCTGCATTTTTTCCGTTTTCTAAATAGCTCTTGTTCTTCTTTATTTCTTCTATTGTCCATGGGGAAGTGGAAAAGAATCTTTCCTCCGTAAGCCATGCGTGTCGTATGAGGCGACTAAAATGCCGGGAGCAATGGGCTAGTAACCCCTTCTCCTGTAGACATTTACTAAAAAAGAGAAGAAGAAAAACTTTATAAAACTGGGATGCTTGAATGTGCGTGGATGTAGTGCTGATGACAAGAAACAGATGATTGCTGATGTTATGAATGAAAAGAAGTTGGATGTCCTGGCCCTAAGTGAAACAAAGCTGAAGGGGGTACGGGAGTTTTGGTGGGGGGAAATAAATGGGATTAAATCTGGAGTATCTGAGAGAGTTAGAGCAAAGGAAGGGGTAGCAGTAATATTGAAGGATCAGTTATGGAAGGAGAAAAGAGAATATGAATGTGTAAATTCAAGAATTATGTGGATTAAAGTAAAGGATGCGAAAAGTGGGTCATAATAAGCGTGTATGCACCTGGAGAAGAGAGGAATGTAGAGGAGGAGAGGGAGATTTTGGGAGCCTTTGAACCAAGTGAGAGAGTAATTGTGGTAGGGTGTGGTAGGTAAGTTTGGGGTGCCAGGTGTAAGTGATAATGGGAGCCCTTTGATTGAGCTTTTGTATAAAAAAGGGGTTTAGTTATGGGTAATGCATATTTTAAAAAAAGGGGAAAATAAGTAAAACAAAATGAGTAGGGCGAATGCAGTAGTTTTTTTTGGGATTATGTTTTGGGTAGATAAAAGACGTTGGTAGACTTCAGGAGACATGTTTTTTAGAGGGGCCACAATATATCAGACATTTTCAGTTGTAACTACATGAGAGTAAAAGGTAATGGGATACAAGGAGAATAGAAGCATCAGGGAAGAGAGAGGTAAAGGTTTAAAAAAAAAGAAAAGGGCGTTAGGGAAAGATATAAACAGCTATTGGAGGATAGAGGGCTAATGAGAGCATGGCAATGGGGGCAAAAGGGGTTTTTATGGGGTGGGTTTAAAAATGTGGTTTTAGTGTTCAGCAAAAGTTTGTGGTTACAGGAAAGTGGGTGCGGGGGGGAAGAGGACAATTGGGGGAATGATGATGTAAAGAGAGTAGAAAGGAAGAAAAATTTTAGCATAAGAAGTTTTTTACAAAGTAAAGTGATGCAAGGAGGGAAAAGTTATGGGGAAAAAAAAGAGGTTAAGAGAGTGGTGAAGAAATTAAAAAGAGAGCAAATGAGAGAGTGGGGGAGATGTTATCAACAAATTTTTGTTGAAAATAAGAAAAAGTTTTTTGGGTGAGATTAACAAGTTAAGGAAAACCTTGAGAACAAATGGGTTTTTAGTTTAAAAAAGGAGAGGGATTTTAAATGGGGAGTTTGAGGAATTGGGAAGATGGAGGGAATATTTTTAGGGGAATTTTTAAATTTGATGAAGTTTAGGAAACTTGATTTTGTGTATAGGGCAAAGGGGGAAAAACATCTTGAGGGGCAAGGAAAAGCCAGTTGTGAGTGTGGGGGGGAAAATTTGTGAGGCAGTAGGTAAAATGAAAGGGGGTAAGGCAGCCGGGATTATGGGGTAAAGATAGAAATGTTAAAAGCAGGGGGGGATATATTTTGGAGTGGTTGGTGCAATTTTTTAATAAATGTATGGGGGAAAAGGGTAAGGTACCAGGGATTGGCAAGAGCATGAAGTTCCCCTTTTTATAAAGGGAAAGGGGACAAAAGAGAGTGCAAAAATTATAGGGGATAATCTTTGAGTATACCTGGGAAAGTGTATGGTAGAGTTATTATTGAAAGAATTAAAAGTAAGACAGAAAATAGGATAGCAGATGAACAAGGAGGCTTTAGGAAAGGCAGGGGGTGGTGGGGGCCCGGGTTTGTTTACAGTAAACATATAAGTGAACAGTATTTAGATAAGGCTAAAGAGGTCTTTGTTGCATTTATGGTTTTGGAAAAGGCGTATGACAGGGTGGATAGGGGGGCAATGTGGCAGATGTTGCAGTGTATGGTGTAGGAGGTAGGTTACTGAAGCAGTGAAGAGTTTTTACGAGGATAGTGGGCTCAAGTTAGAGTATGTAGGAAAGAGGGAAATTTTTCCCAGTAAAAGTAGGCCTTAGACAAGGATGTGTGATGTCACCGTGGTTGTTTATATATTTATAGATGGGGTTGTAAGAGAAGTAAATGCGAGGGTTTGGCAAGAGGCGTGGAGTTAAAAGATAAAGAATCACACACAAAGTGGGAGTTGTCCACACCTGCTTTTTTTGCTGATGACACTGTGCTCTTGGGAGATTCTGAAGTGAAGTTGCAGAGATTGGTGGATAAATTTTGGGGTAGGGTGTGCAAAAGAAGAAAATTAAAGGTGAAATACAGGAAAGAGTAAGGGTATGAGGATAACAAAAGATTAGGTGAATGAAAGATTGAATATCAGATTGGAGGGAGAGAGTATGGAGGAGGTGAACGTATTCAGATATTTGGGAGTGGAACGTGTCAGCGGATGGGTCTATGAAAGATGAGGTGAATCATAGAATTGATGAGGGAAAAAGAGTGAGTGGTGCACTTAGGAGCTGTGGAGACAAAAAACTTTGTCCTTGGAGGGGAAAGAGGGGAATGTATGAGAGTATAGTTTTACCAACGCTCTTATATGGGTGTGAAGCGTGGGTGATGAATGTTGCAGCGAGGAGAAGGGTGGAGGCAGTGGAGATGTCATGTCT